TGAATATTTTCTAAAATTTTTATATAAGTAATCATTAAGAGCTTGAACTATTTTTATTTTTTCAGAATTTTTATTTTTATATTTTTAGTGATATAGTATTTTAGAATTGTAGATTTTATTTTTCCAATATTTTATTTTTTAAATTTATATATTTTATTTTTTAAAATTTTTAGATTTTTAGCTTTTAAAATTTTTAATTTTTAAGATCTCATTTAAATAAAATTTTACTATTTGAACACTTGTTTTCCATGCTTTGAGCGTCTTTAGAATTCTCATTCAAAATACTCAAAACGTCAAAAATGTATTTTGAATTTTACGTTATAAGTTTCACTTTTTTTTTTTCAAATGTATTTTTGAAAATATTAGATCAAACACGTTTTCAGTGCTTGACAAAATTGAAACTAAAAACAGCTTGAAAACTGGAAATCAAAAGCATGCTAAAAAGTTTGAATTTCTCTAAAACAAGCTTTTTATAGCCATTTTTTGTCAAAAATATTGTTTGACTTTTGCCAAACAACCAATATTTTAAACAAAAATAACTTTTGACTAAATGTGCTTTTAGGCTTTGGAAATACACTATTATTGTTATTGATACAATTTTTTTTTTATATTAATGCCTTGAATAAATGAGCATCAATCGATCAAACAAGGGATAAGAAACGAATAAAGAGGGGTGACATATCAATCATTAGACCTTCTCTCTTTTATCCATTTAGATGACAATTACATGACAATAACACCGCGTGATTAATTTAATCGAACATATCAATTTTGGTAATTAGACTGGTGCTTTAACATGGCGGTAGATATCATTATTCTATTTGTATCCTAATATTCCTTGATGAATATCATAATATCAAGAGTAATATTATTCATTAGGGAGGACAACGAGGTGAGTATGAGACGGGTCGACCATTCTTATCTCCATCACGTCGAGTATTTTTATTACCTTACCACATCCTCATACCCGTTAAAGTGTGGCGAGGTGGGTCCCCTGTCCCGTTTATCGCCCAGCTTATTTTTTTTTTAATTTTTTTATGTCTTTAGTTATTGATTTTTTTTTTTCAATTTGTTGAGAACAACTCATGTTTTCTTTAAAAATGATGATAAATATTTTATTTTATTTGATAAAAAACTTAAATTTGAAATTAACTTTAAAATGGGCGGATAGCGGGGACTAAGTTTCCCGTACCCATTTCGAGGCAACGACCCTCGCCCCATCCCCATCCCATTTACCCTATTAGGTGGATAATCTCCTCCCCATTTGGGGCGGGATCCCGCAAGTATCGAATTAAACGGGTTTTTTTTGCCATCTCTATTATATATTTATAGTGAAAATTATTGTTAGTCGTACATATGGTAGTCTGTTATTTGATGTATTAACATGGTAATTTTTTTATTCTATCATGCATCAAATAACAAACTGCTATGTGTATGTAGCGTAAGTTCACTACCGATAATTTTCACTATGAATAGCATTATTATAATATCAATGGAGAGAAATTGATTCTCTGATTCATTACTTAGGCAAGCAACTAGGCCACGATGTCATTGCTTTCAAGAAGTCGACTTTGTCTACATTCAAGATATTCAAGAAAATTCAGTTCATGCGTCATGTCCCATATGTGGAAACATTAATAATCACTTACGCGGTTGGACAAAAGATGATAATCAAATCGGTATGTTTGGTAATTAGATACTATAAAACTTCTATAAAATTATAATGTTGTAATCAAGAAAAGTTATTATTAATTCATTTCTAATTAACTTTATAAAAATGTGATTAGTTATTCTTGAGTTTGACAACTAAATCGAGAAGAAAAAATATATTTTTTTTCTTTAAACTGCATAGATAGAGAGATTTGACATGAATCTAATTATCATCTCACAATTACTAACGAAATGAAAGTAAAAAAGGAGTGAGTTAGGAACCCTAACTTTTAATAAACAGGAATACATAAACGTCACATGCTTACAAAAGAGGATTATAACAATAAAAGCATACCATCTAAAAAGTTAAACTTAGGTAATGTTTTCTTTTCAGGAAAACACATTACTCCTATATTTCGATTAATTTCGAATTGCACAGAGACAAATGGAAGACTTTCTTCGATCTTCTAGGCTATAGGAGACGTTTGAACCGTCCTAATTTTCTCTCTCGAGATAAATTAATCCAATATTTATCTACGATTCAACTATATCTATATGAATTAAAATATAGATAAAAATACAAGACAAAACTAGAATATCAATTAATATTGAACTAAGCATAGAAGATATATCTCTATTTCCTATAGGACCCATTGTTCTTTTTTATCAGGTGCTAATTTATAACGAACCTCTCGAAAACGATATAAATTCCAAATATGTTCTATTAGTAAACAGTTTTAATGTATTTGAGTCCTATTTACTATAATTAATTTAAGTTTTAAAACTAAAAGCATGTTTGAGAAGTGTTTCAAAACGATTTAAATTATATATGAATAAAAATGAATGATGAATATGTAAATAATACTCGTAGATCTCTCGAAATGTGACTTGAGTATGTATAAATCATTTATATACATAGCCTAACAAATAACCCAAATGGGCCCCCAGAGCACATCTCCAAGTGGTAAAAGGGGAAGGTGGAAAAACTCCAACTTTGCTTGAGATTGCCTCGTCCAGGGTTCGAATCCTGAAACATGGATTTGACTCTTGGGTAAGTGCAAGTGTACAAGTAGTCTTCCACCATGTACCCTTGGAGGCATAACCTGCGATTTACCTCCTTCATCAAGGCACAGGGCAGGGCAGGGCAGGGCAGGACAGGACAGGTGGGGGCCGCTAAGGATGCGGTTCATCCCTCTTTAATAAATAACCCAAATGGACCTTGGTACCAAATCCAACACTGAATGACACAAGGACTTACTGCTCACTTATTATATGTTGGAGTGAACCCAATGCAAGGCCCAGATCTGAATTGACTACCCAAGCTGGCATAATCAAGCAAGTGTATGTACTACACACATAAAAGTTTACGGATTGCTTAGTTGTCTTTGCATGTGTATGATATATACACTGGCATGTATCCCCTATTTCTGGGCATTCCTTTTCAAGGACCACTTTCATTTATTCCTTCACTCCAAACTCTTGTTTGTCACATTCCTTTCATGCTCGTCAAGCACCGCGCTTCACATTCATTGCTGCCCATCTCTAACTTATCATGATTTTAGGTTTACATCTTTTCCAAGATTTCTCCATGTTTGTATCTTTTCTCGGTAAGTTTGGATTATTTGGCGGGTTTGTGATGCAGTATTGTACAGACAGACAAACGTGATAATGAGACATTATGATCATTATGTGTTAAGGTAATTAGTGAGCACTCATACTATAATGGTTGGTGAGTAAAAGGTATGGGCATTCACTACCGTATGATTAATGAGTCAAGAAACTTTATAATTTGCCAGTCTTCATGTTTCAACAACTATTGGGTAGGAGTATGAGAAGGTGCATGTTGATCGTCCATCAACTTCACTACATCATCACACTTTGTTTTACCTATTTTCCCATTTCAATTCCAAGGGAAAATCAAACATATATCAGACAAATGACTTATCTGTAAAAGGGATGGAGTTTAGTTTGTATAGACACATTCTAATTGCTCCATAGTCCCCAAGCGCTCATCCCCCACCCCACCCCCACCCACAGAGACAGTGAAAGTGAAAGTGATTTATCAGCCATTAAAATTTCCAAATTTGAGAGAGTTCAAAGATATTTGCTGTGCATTGGTAGATATGTTAGGTGAATGAGGCATGCTCATAATTGAAGCATTTTATGTAGAATGTAATATCATACAGGAAGAAGATTGGACACGCCAGGGATTCTGTGCAAAATGAATTCTGTTTAAAATATTATCATACAAAATGCCAAATAGTATTCAAATAAAATTAGAAAATATTACCGATTTTTTAAACGTTAAGAATGTCTATGATATTACCATAAGATTCACGAGGTACGTATGACATTGTTCCCGAAAAAACTTTAAAATTTGAATTCAAATTAACCTCAAAAATCAAAGTAAAAATTTGAACTTTAACGGAACTCTATCAGTAAAAGTTAAACCCAAGAAATCAATTAAAAAAAACAAATTCTCATAAGTCGACCGTTAGAAATACCTTACAACTTCCCTTCTACCAAGATTTGTTTCTTTACTGCTTCTCCAACAGAGCCCCAATAAAGAATCATAAAACCCACCTGCATAAGCGGTGCGTGATTCAAAACTCTCCTACTTCATCCATAAACACAAACGATTTCTTTAATTTGAGCGAAATATAAAAGTCAATATCCATGTAATTTTATTCTTGTCGGAATGCCAATATTTTAAAAGATTGATCCACCATAAACGGTCTAACCTAGAGTAAAAAAGAACTAAATGAGCACTTTGAGATTCATTTGAATTCGTCCAAAGATCATAGCACTTCGAAATGCCAATGAAGTTTCGCACTGTTCTACAATTATTAACTAAATTTTCAAGTCCTTTATGTATTTGAATCGAAAATTATATTGGCTAACAATCGGATTTTAAACGGGAAGACAAGTTTCATTTGTTCATTAAACAGTTAAAAAAAGAAAGAGCATCCATACTTGTGCTGCCATGCAGTACCTGTCAACAAATCCCGTCAAAAGTCCCGAATTATTCTTCTAGTTTGCTCTCTAAAATGTAATTCTTAAAGATATCATTGTAGCGCGTGACAGAGTTCAAATTTTAAATATAGTTAAAACATTACTGTTTCTGTCAATTTGGATCCTAGAATAGTGGACCGTTACTCGATTTTGGCGAACTTGAATTCTCAAAGACTCGCCTTTCCCCGGTCTCTGCAGAGACCCCACCCGTATCCCCACACACTTTTGTCTAAACTAAAACCCTTGTAGCTTCATGCTCAGAGTCCGACAGTGAATCAATTGAGATCTTCGAGAGAGGAGCGCGCGAGAGAGATAGATCCTAGTTTCAGGGTGCAACTATGGTTGCCGGAAAGGTAAAAGTGGCAATGGGATTGCAAAGATCACCGGCGAACTCAAAGCCAAAGCCGGATTCATCTCCTAAACCGCCGTTGTTATCCGTATCAGGTTCAGGAAAGCAGCAGCAACAACCACAGAAGGTATCAAGCACCGGCTTGTCACGCTCCTTTGGCGTTTACTTTCCACGCTCATCCTCCCAGGTCCAGCCTCGCCCACCGGATGTAACAGAGCTTCTTCGCCTTGTGGAAGAGTTACGTGAACGAGAATCCCTCTTGAAAACAGAACTCTTGGAGCAGAAGCTTCTCAGAGCTTCTGCCGCCATTGTCCCAGTTCTTGAAAATGAGATTTCAATTAAAGATTCAGAAATTGAACGCTCCAAGAAAAAGATTCTATGTTTAGAAGCAGAGAATGATACACTCAGACAAGAGGTTGAGGTTTTACACACAGAATTATCAAAACAAAATCAGAAGTACGAGGAAAAAATAAAGGCGATGCAGGTCGAATTATCTGATATCAAGAAATCCTTTGAAGAGAGACAACGAGAGGAAGAGACGTCATCTTCATCTTCTACTCCGAGACTTAACGATGTAACCAACAATTATAAATCTAGTACTGCAACGAAAACTTTTAGGAAATGTGCGACCCAAAATTTCATTGTAGGGAATTTTGAAAGTGGTTTTTCTGGTAATGTAAGGTCTGAAAGTGAGGAAAAGAAAGAGGATACAGTAGGGGTAGTGACAATTGAAAAGCCACGACACGCTCGTTGTAATTCTGAAGAAATTGTTGGGACTTGTGATGGGATAATGGGGATAAGATCCCGGGCTCCTCGCGTACCTAAGCCACCTCCTAAGCCATCGGCATCGTTTTCATCATCTTCATCGTCTACATTATCATCTTCTCTGTCTTCCCCTTCGTATGGTTCTTTTTCGGATTCTGCCGAGAGGGCATTCGCTGAAATTTCAAACATTTCGCCTCCTCCTCCTCCGCAAGTAAAAGTGGCTGCTACACCTCCTCCGCCCCCGCCTCCGCCTAGGTCCAAGGGGGCACCACCACCTCCTCCGCCCCCTCCCCAGCCCAAAGGGCTGAAACCGGTGCCTGCAAAGGTTAGGAGGGTGCCTGAGGTGGTAGAGTTTTACCACTCATTAATGCGGAGGGATTCAAATTCAAGACGTGAATCCGGCGGAGGCGGTGCCGATGCTCTGGCAGCGGGAACTACAGCCAAAGATATGATAGGGGAGATTGAGAACCGTTCAGCACATTTACTAGCGGTAAATTTGGAATTATCTGTTATGGACATGGTTTTTGTGTTTATTTACCGTTTTTGCTACTCGAATGCCTTTCTGTCACTGAAATTGACTTGTCCCAGTGTCCTTTGTTGTCCATTTGGTGCTGTTTTTCTTGGAAGTTTGCCAAGATAAGACAGTGGTTAGATTCGAAATCCAAATGTCCGAAAATAATGCAAAAAGTTTGTAAATTGAATGAATCCAAGTGGGTATTTATGACTATTTAATTGATGGGACAAAAGGTTGGGGAAATCATTAATATCTGATTATCAGTTAATTATTTTAAATGCAGATTAAGACTGATGTGGAAACTCAGGGAGATTTCATTAGATTCTTGATTAAAGAAGTTGAAGGTGCTGCATTCACAGACATTGAGGATGTTGTTCCTTTTGTTAAATGGCTGGATGATGAGCTCTCCTACCTGGTACAGTTTTTTGACTCGACTCGAAAACGATAGGGAATAAAGCTTAGTTGACTATTAACAGTTTAATAAATCAGATTATATATGGAATTAGGTTGATGAAAGGGCAGTGTTGAAGCACTTCGATTGGCCTGAGCAGAAGGCAGACACGTTAAGAGAAGCGGCATTTGGATATTGCGACTTGAAGAAGCTGGAGTCTGAAGCCTCGTCCTTTCGTGATGATCCTAGACAGCCTTGTGGTGTTGCTCTCAAGAAGATGCAGGCATTGTTTGAGAAGTACGATAATTCCCTATTTTTATTACTTACATTGTCAATAAATTCATATATTAATTTGACTTCGGCATTATTGGCAACAGATTGGAGCACGGAGTTTATAATTTGTCGAGGATGAGAGAATCAGCTGCGCAACGATACAAAGCGTTTCATATTCCAATGGATTGGATGCTAGACAAGGGATGTCTAAGTCAGGTGAGTTTTTCATTCTTCTGAAATTCAGTTGTGTAAAATCATTCGTTGGTCTATACATAGCTGGGTTCTACATCTCCTAATCCCGCGATATAGATTAAAGCACAAACACGACTACAGATGACAAAGAGGGCTGGGAAAAGTAAAAAAATTAATCTTTTTTATAGTACTACGTTTCAGTCCATAACTGTGTACCAAGTATAATAAGTGCGGTAGTGGGACTCGTAAGCTCTGATTATAATGTTAAGGGATATAATTTCACATTCAATAAAGATGTAAGCATAAACCAACTGTATAATGTTAAGGGATATAATCCCACATCGAATAAAGATGTAAACATAAATCAACTTATAAAAGATTTGGTTACTCTTCTTAATAAATAAGATGGAACCTCAAATTTTAACATGGTATCAGAGCTCATTAAGCTCTAACGAACAATTCGATCCAGTTAAGATTCCAAAAGTGAGCATACGGATTTCAAGATTGGTATACCCAAATGATTTACCATCTTGCGAGGGCATGTTAAGGGATATAATTTCACATCGAATAAAGATGTAAACATAAATTAACTTATAAAGGATTGGGTAATATGGGTACAAAATTTTGCAGATCAAGTTGGCATCTGGGAAACTGGCAATGAAGCACATGAAGAGGGTCTCTGCAGAGCTCGAAATGGTTGGAGGTGGTCCCGAAGAAGAAGACCTTATCGTCCAAGGTGTTAAATTTGCATTTCGAGTACATCAGGTACTACAAAATGAAGTTTGCCTTCATTATAAGTTGAGCGACTAACAGTATTTTTTTACCTTGGTCGTTCAAGATCAGCTTATTTTACCTGTACAATTTATTTTACATGTTTTTTTTAACAGTTTGCAGGCGGGTTCGATGTGGAAACAATGAGAGCATTTCAGGAGCTGAGGGACAAAGCGAGATCATGCAATGTACAATGCCAAAATCAGCAGCAACAGAAACTTATTTGCAGGTCTTCTACAGCCTGCTAAATCTGTAGCAAACTCAGCTTCAGAATTGCAGTCAATTTTTTTGTGTTTTCACGATACAATATAGACGAACAATTTGTAAATATCATGGCAGGCATTTAGGGGGCGTTCTTTTTGTGTTTCAGTTTTGTATTTTGAGTTTTGAATTCGTTTTGTGTTTTGTGTGTCTGTTTTGAAATTTCTGAAAATGCGTTCTTTTTGCCGTTCTGAGAAACTGTTTTCGAAAACGTAAAAATGGAAAACGCGTTTACTTTGAAATTTTGAGAATTTTTTTAAATGATATTTTATTAAAAAAAATCTGATTATTCAATAAATTTTAATGGTTTAAT